ATTGTTTGTAAAGGGACACATCCGATTTACACGTGCGAAGTTTTCAAGGGTATGCCGACGGCCGCTCGTTTGCAGAAAATCAGGGAACATCAATTATGTTTTAATTGTTTGGGTGATGGTCACAGAAATCGAGAGTGTACCTTCGGACCTTGCCGAAAGTGCGGCAAGAAGCATAATTCTCTGATTCATTTAGACAACCCAAGTGTAAATACCACAGGGTCGTTGCAGGTACAAGTTACAGGTGCTCCTACTGAAGGTTTAAAGCAGGTAGAAAATTCCACGCAACCGAGCGAAGGCACGTCAAGTCCTTCAGAGGTCATAAACCAATCATTAACAGCTCGCGTCATACAAAAAGGGACAAAGGTAACAATATTATCTACAGCCAAATTATATATTTATGATTGCCGTGGACAAAGGCATGAATGTAGAGCACTTTTGGACTCAGGATCTGAACCGCATATTATGACTACCGCATTATTCAATCGTTTAGGACTTTCAAAAACAAGAAGCAACCTCGCTCTTACGGGTATTGAACAAGGATCAGTACACGTAAATTATGTAGCCACAATGAAAATCGGTTCCCGGACTACTAACTTCTCAGCAACCATCACTTGTGTTGTATTAGACAAAATAAGCAGTAATATTCCCAGTACACATATTAACACAACGGATATACAGATACCAAAGGGTTTGGAATTGGCTGATCCAGATTATAATTGTTCTGGACCAGTAGATTTAATTATAGGTGCTTCATTATTTTTGCGACTCCTCTCAGTAGGGCAAATCTTCATTAAAAATACTGAATTAGTTCTCCATAAAACTGTACTTGGATGGATTATTGCCGGGAATATATGTCTCAATTCTCCGAGGAAATTAATATGTAATTTAGTTAAGAATCAGGATTTAGATAATCAACTTGAACGTTTTTGGAAGCTGGAGCATTGTTTTATACCAACTAATTCAACCACAAAAACAAAGGACTATAGTGAACAACATTTTATTCAAAGTGCAAAACGAGATGAAACCGGACGTTTCATAGTTAGCATCCCATTTAAGAATAATGTATCAGAATTAGGAGATTCTCTGAAAGGAGCAGAAAAAAGAGTCTATGCCATGGAACGGAAACTATCAAAAAATCCAGAACTCAAGAAACAATATACCGCCTTTATGGAAGAATACGAAGCACTTGGACACATGACTGAAATATCGCCATCGAAGTACACAAATACATCGCATTTTTATTTACCACATCACGCAGTCGTTAAGGAAGACAGTACAACAACCAAGCTACGTGTTGTTTTTGATGGCTCGTCGAAGAGTTCCTCATCATTGTCACTTAACGATGTGCAACACATTGGACCAACAGTACAGGATGATCTTTTTACAATATTGGTACGGTTTAGGAAACATAGTTTTGTATTATCCGCGGACATTGCAAAAATGTACAGGCAGATTTTGGTTAACGAGCGTGATAGAGCATTCCAATTAATTTTATGGCGATCAGACATCAACACGCCAATGAAACATTACGAATTGAATACCGTGACTTATGGCACGGCTTCTGCACCATTTTTAGCAACGCGTTGTTTGCAACAACTGAGTGACGAATTAAGGGAAAAGGATCCAGTTACAAGTCATGTTATACGTCATGATTTTTATGTGGACGACTTGTTAACTGGCACGGATAGCGTTGATGACGCAATTAGATTAAAAACTAATTTATCGAACACTCTGAGTTCAGCAGGGTTTGAATTAAGGAAATGGGCCAGTAACGACCTTCGCCTTGTAACAGGCAATAAGAACGCCCCCAAGGAGGCAATTCCTTTGTTGGATAAGGACCCCAAAACGCTAGGATTATTTTGGGATCCTGCTACTGATGTACTGAAATACAATGTAAAGTACCTAGATTATAAAAGAATTACCAAACGTACTGTAACGTCGATAATAGCGCAGATATTCGATCCTCTTGGACTTGTTGGTCCAACTGTAATTAAGGCAAAAATTATATTGCAGAAATTATGGGAACTCCGACTTGATTGGGATGAATCTCTGCCTCAGGAGCTACATACATTGTGGCAAAGTATTTATAAGGAATTAAAAAATATTAATAATATAAGCATACAGCGTCATGTTATAGATAAGAACGTTAGTCAGTTACAGTTTCATGGATTTTGCGATGCTTCAGAATCGGCATATGGAGCATGTATTTATATTCGGACTCGAACTAGGAATAATAAATTTATAGTTCATTTATTATGTGCGAAATCGAGAGTAGCACCATTATTGTCTAATTGCTAAAAACGTAACAGATTATCGCATAAAAAGGGCTGACCCTCTTCGAAAACAAATCTCAAATTATTTCTCCGTAAAAAGTAGGAGAAAATTGTATATGTAATAATTATTGCTAAATTGTAATAAACAAAAAATTCCAAAAACATGTATCCCCTATTTTGATCCATATTTTTAGTATACAAAGCTGCAAAAAAATCGAACTGCATTTATGGTGAAAAATTGAAAAAAAAGTGCATTTTTTAAATATATTATTTAAATAAATAATTTCTCCCGAAATTTTTGACGCTAACTAAATTCCTGACTAAAAACTACACAATTTAAAAAAAAATTTACCTTCCTACTCCCTCTAGTTTCCGAGATATTAAAGAAAATGTGTTTTTAACCCCCAACTTTGAGGGCTATTTTCACCCCCTCAACATGGATGTCCGCAAATATAAAAAAATACGTGTCAAATGATTTTTAAAAAGCTACAACATATGTCAATTTCATTAAAATCCGCGTGTGACACCTTGGTAATGTCCCTTGTCAGTCAACTTTAAGTCTTTTAATCGTCTTTGGTTTATTTTATATATGCACGTCACCCTATACCCTTTCTTTACAGTTTTCCTACGTACTTCTAACAACACTCTCACTGTCAGCAGCCTATGTCTCACTATCATTGTTGCACCTTCCTCTTTCACTTTCCCTTGATCCACCTTTTCCATTTTCCCTTCTGCTTCTATTCTCTTCTTCTTTTGCACAATTAGCCTTATCCATTCACCACTTTTCCTCATTCTCTGTCTCGAAGTCCTTAGACCCTCGTGCCTCCTTTTCTTCATTTCTATGACTGTTCACCCTTGCCCCTTCGTCCTCCTTTTCCAGCCCTCCTATATTTGATCTTCCAGCCCCTTTCGGATCGTTACCAGCTGTCGGGGTGCCTTCCTCTCTCCTTGCCTTGAATTCTCTCATTATTCTTTCCGCCTTCTCTCTATCGTTCCTGGCTTTCTCTTCCCATAAAATCCACCCTTCTGGGTTGCCCTCTCTTCTTCTCCTTTCCAGAGCTTTTTCGTGTTCCCTGGATGCCTTGCGTCTTACTCTCTGGCTCGTTTTTTCATCTACGTAATACAAAAAGGGGGGAGTTACAACAGCCTTCCAGTCCTCTTCTTCCTCTATCGTATCCTTTTCCTGGACTCTTTGCCTCCCTTCTTGAATGGCCTGAGCCACCCTTCCCTCTATGTTTTTTTCTCTCAGGAACGCAATTAATTCATCGATGAGTCTTTCTTCTTCCTTCTTCTTCCTTTCTTCCATCCTCTTCTTCCTTTCCTCTTCCTGTCTGATCTCCCTTCTCCTCTCCTTCTCCTGCTCCTTAGCTAATTTCTCCAAATTCCCCTGTTCTTTGGGGCTGCTCGACCCCTCACCTGCCATCTCATGTGGAAACGGGATCCTCTCCGGTGTTTTATGTCTGTCCACCTGTTTTTCCTTCGCCCTTTCCACTTTGTCTTTACAGTCAAGACAAATATATCTATTATTCGTCAAGACCAAGTCTGTCCGTGAATTATAGCAGGCTGGTCTTCCCCCATTCTTCACCTGAGTCCAACCCTCTACTCCCTCCTCCTCTTCATTCCTACCTTCCTCCATTCCTGCAGGAATCATACGGCCCTCTTTTGACTTTCCCTCAAAGTCCTTCCTGGCCACCTCACTGTAGCTGGCGTTTGGCCTGTTAGGTCCCCTACCCCTTCCTACCTCCTCTCGTCCTCTTCTTATTCTCTCTAATTCCCCCTGTATGGGGATCTCTTTATTCTCCCATATCTCTCTCCTTTCCTTTCTTATTAACGCAGGAAATTCACTCCCTCCATCCCCTGTCATCTTATCAATTCCTCCAACCCTGTCCGGCTCCCTGTCCCCTAAGCTTCTGACAACGATCCCCCTGGCAGTATCAAATTCAACATTTCTGAATGCCATAACTTTTCTTATGGCCGCCTTCAGTTTACACATCTTGCCTTACACATCTTCTCTCACATTGACCATGCTCCCTTTCACCGCAGTTTAAACATCTCCTTTCCACCTCTCGACAGGTGGCTTGCAAATGCCTATATTTCAAACATTTAAAGCATTGCCTTACCGGCTCTACGAAGGGTTCAATTTTAATCCCAACGTGTCCTTGCCCAATCAACAGCCTCGTGGGGAGGATGCTCCCTCTGAATGTTATCATAATCGCCCTAAGGGGCTGGAAGACCACTTTACCGTCAATTACTCTTCTCTTCTTCATACGCTCCAAGACGAAGTTCCCTGGGGTTGTCTCCTCTTTCAGCTCCTCGACTGAATCCTCCCATTCGAATATCATACCGCGACGATACTTCATCCTCCTTGGCAAGTACGCTGTTATCTGACTATCCCTCCTCCCGTACTTCTTCAGTAAGAACTTCGCCTCTTCTTTGCTCTTGGTCGTTATCTCCGCTCTGCTGAAACCTGTCATACGAATATTCTTTATTTTGACACCCGCATCTTGGTCAAATCTATATAACTTAATTAGATTGTTTCTCTTAGTCCTATTCTTTCCTCCCGTCTTCAGCACGCAGCACACAACATATTCGTCCCACGTGGCTTCCTCATCGTATAAGTCTATAACCCATTCTCTTTTCTCCCCCCGTCGTTTTTTTTTATTGTTCCTTTTCCCTAACTTCCACGTTTTCTGTGCTACCTACCACCTCCATCCTAAGTGCGTCATAGCTTTCCCTACTTTCTAGATCCTTACATCTATCCTTATCTCCTATAATATTCTCGTTCACATAGTTTATTACGTCAGAAGTATTGTCTTTTTTACCTTCTTCCGCTTTTTCCTTCTCAGCACAAACACTATCTACTGCACTTCCCTTCTCTACTACGTTGTTGTCTACTATACTTTCCACGAGGTAATGGACGCCTTTTTGCGCGTCTTTTTCCAGTACCCCACGCTCTCGCTCTTCTTCCGCCGGCGCTGTTGTAGCCAATCTTACCAACCTTCCTTCCACACGTGACCGCAATTCACTCACTGAGCGTTCCTGATTGGTCACTTCATTTTCTCCTAATGCTACGTCACTTCCTTCCTCTTCTCTTATCCTTCTCTTCTCCTTTCTCCCTTCTTCCTCCTGATGCTCCTCCTCTCCATCCATTTCCCTAGACCTTTTCTTGCATTCCTCTACGTCCATCTTCTCCTCTTCTTTTCCTTTTCCTTCCTTTTCACGCTTTTCTTCTACCTTACACTCCCTTCTTGTCGCATCCAGAACTGCTTTCTCTTCTTCCGCCAAATATTCCAACGCCCATTCCTTGCGTAAACTTGTCAGTAACGTCTCCTCAACTTTATTTTCCTCCGGCTTTTCGATCCTATCTTCCTCCAGCTCACTCTCTCCAAAATCCTCAGTTTCTTCCTTCTCAGTACTCATTCTTTTTTTCCATTTTCTTTTCTCCCTGACTCTTCTCGTCCTCTCCTCTCTACTTCTCTCCCCTTCCTCTCGTTCCACTGTTTTGTTCCTGGTTATCGGCCAACCAGCGGACCCCTTTGTTCTCATACACTTACCCTAAATCTAGAATCGTCCTTTTGTCCCAACTTTAATCACTACCAACAAAATTACCTAAACCTATCAACTAATTATACTGACTTGTCCAATAATCCACCAATCAAAACCAACGAAAATAACGAAAAATCACGGAGCACGCTCAGACCACGTCCTATCGCTACGCCGCCATAACCGGAACTCGACCCCTTCGAGGCTCATTCCGCTAATACAAGTTTAGTTTAGTTTCTTTATTTTCTTCACAGGGAAGAGGGCGCTTGAGCCCCGTAGGGGCTCATTCTGCCCATACATCAAAATCAAATTTCCCTAGGGCTACTCCCCAACGGTAGCGCCATCATCACACATTCGTTCCACACACCACACCTATTTTTTATTTTTACAACTATAATTGCACTTACAGTTTTATTCCGCATTTTTTAAAAAAGCACCAAGCAGTCTTAAAGGTCTACTCTCACCCATTTTTTTACACTCATGAAACTCCATTCTCTTATCTATTCCACTAGCTAACATCCTCCTTTCAAACAGCTCTCTCTCATATTTCTCACAGTCCCACACTACATGATCTATGTCCTCTATTCTATCACATCTATCACAGTACGGGTTCTCAACCATGTACTTTCTAAATAAAGACCATCTTAAATTATAGTGGTCCGCTTTAATTCTTCCCTTAACTCTTCCCTCCATCCCCATCCTCCTTTCCTATTATATGGGAAGGTCACGATTTGTGTTTTCTCTGCTGCCACACTTAAACCTATCAATTCAAGGTTCTCCCTGAGCTTCTTCATTGCCATCTCTATTTTTCTCTTCCCCTCTCCTCTATCCCTAAAAGTTACAAAAATAACAATATCATCCGCATATTGTAGGATCCGCACCTTCATTTCCCTTAAGCCCTCCACAATTCCTGAAGTATACAGGTTATACAACAGAGGACTCAAAACTGAGCCCTGCGGCAATCCCTTCAAAAGTTTTCTTCTCACATTCTCTCCCCCAAACATCACGAACTCCAATTCTCTCTTCTCCAACCAATTCTTCAGGTAAGACGTCATCTTTTTTGGACATCTCATTCTTTGCAACACCTCCTCCAATTTGTCATGTTTTACATTGTCGTATGCCGCTTTTACATCGATAAAGGCCGCCGTCACCGCTTCCCCCTTCCCCCACGCCTCTCTTATAGAATTAACCAGTATGTTTATATTGTCCATTGTTGACTTTCCTTTTCTAAAACCATTTTGGTTAATGTCCATCCTACCTGTTTCTTCCGCCCAAATCCTTAGTCTTTCGTTCACCATCCTCTCTAGGGTTTTCCCCATACAATTCATAAGCGAAATCGGTCTGAGGGCCCTCTTCCGAGGCTTCGGAATAAATTTCACCAAAGCCTTTTTTCAGCTTTCTGGTATCCGACCCCCGTTCCATACCTCATTGTACAAACTTATGACTGCTTCCTTCCATCCTTTCGTCCACAGCTTCATCACG